GCTGCTGTGAGAAAAGGCTATAAACGATCGTCCACCTGCAGGATCCTCACATGAGAAAGCCTAGTAGCCGGGACAACTTTTTTATGTTTACAGACGTGACCTAATGACGCAGTGCCATGCTCTAATTTCCCGCGAAAACCTACCCGTACCACTCAAATTAGAAAACATTATTATAAGCTAACTGTTGTGAAACGGGCTAAAGTAAGGCGATAGTTTTGAACACTGGCTGGGTACTTGCTCAAATATTGATTTCGGATCATTTTTAACCAAAAACGGACTGCAGCTTTAAAATAACTGTTTTCTATTTGAATATATTTAAAAATGTAATTTATTCCTATGTTGGCAAAGCTGAATATTGAGCAGCCATTACTCCAGTCTTCAGTATCACAGAAATCATTCTAATATTCTAATAATCTTAAGCTAAAAATAACAGCATTTATAATATTATAGAAATCTTTTGTAGCATTATACATTTCTTTGCTGTTACTTTTGATCCATTTAATGCATCCTTGCTGAATAAAAGTATGAATTTCTTTTAAATAATAATAATAAATATTCTTACTGATCCCAAACTTTAAAAAGGTAGTGTACTTATTAGTTCATTCATGCAAATTGTTAAATATACTGTATTTAAATTGTTTATTTTATTTTTAATGATTACATTTTTTGCGTGTTATGCATTTTATGTTTATTAGAGTCTCATTTCGTGTTGAGTCCACCATTCGAATCCAGTGAGGGGTATTATTTGTAAGCTGTATGGAGTTTGTATAGCAATCCAGTCACTTTTGTTGTTTAGTTTCAGCTAGTTTTTGAAAAAGAGCCTGTTGGCAATCTTTGCGTGTGTAAATATGTATTTTTCTCTGAATGAAATGGACAAGTGTTGTAAATGCTGTACGTAATGTGTTTATGTTTGTGTGTGTATATTACCCTGTGAAGGGATAGTGTCCTCTGAACATGATGGTGTCGTGTTCTGTGTGCTGTATCCACTGGAGTACTGCAGAGAGTCACAGCTGCTCTTCTGCTGCTGTTCTATACTAAGCCCACGAGTCAGAACCATAGCCAGCTCACTAGCAGCGGATGACATCGGCTTACCATGCTAAGACAAAAAGAGAGAAAATAATAGATATGTATGTACACTACCAGTCAAAAATCTGGTTTAATTAAGTGTTTTTTTTTAATGTTTTAAAAAAAAATTATCTTATGCCCAGCAAAATAAAACAGTAATACTTTAAAATTTGAGTACAATTTAAGTTAACTGTTTTTAAAAAAATACATTTTAAGATGTAATTTATTCCTGTGATGGTAATACAAATTCTTCAGCATCATTACTCCAGTCTTCTGTGTCAGAAATTATTCTGCTGATTTGCTGCTCAAGAAACATTTCTTATTATTAACAATATTGAAAACAATTGCTTAATATTTTAACAATATTTCCAATATTTCTAATAAGTAAAATAAGCATTTTTTAAAAAGTATTTTTAATAATTGATCATAACTAAGCACCAAATCAGCATATTAGAATGATTTCTGAAGGATCATGTGACACTGAAGACTAGAGTAATGATGCTGAAAATTCTGCTTTGTCATCACAGGAATAAATTATATTTAAATTGAAAAGAGTTATTTTAAATTGTAATCATATTTTACAATATTACTGTTTTTCTTGTATTTTTAATCAAATGAATGTAGTCCTGGTTTTAAAAACATTAAAAAATCAAATCTGAATTATTCGAAACCTTTGACTGGTAGTATATATAATTATAATTATTAAAATCAAATCAAATAATAAAATTATTAAAATTTTATAGTTTATATTAAAAAAATTAATTCTCAATACCTTTGCAGTGAGGTCTTTAGAATTCATTCTTGCTAGCCTATAAGGATCCTCGGGGTGAATTATTCCATTTCCTCCCACTCCACTAGAGGGCTCTGCAGCCTCAGTCCTGCGCTGCCCGCTTACAGCCGTCTGCTCATAGTGACCTGCCTTTGACCAGTCCTGCTGCAAGAGGAAATTGTTTTTTTTTTTTTAAGGTCATGGAAATATAGCCAGAATAGGACAGGACCTGCTTATTTAGTAGATGTTTATTTAAAAAAAAAAAAAACCCGCAAACTTGAGGATGTTGGTTAACAGTGAAAAGCGGATGATAAAGAAATGAAATGGGATGAGATAAAAACAAACAAATTAAAACTAATAATGTTTTATAACTGAAGATGATAAAGCAAATAAAGGCTGACCGAATGGTCAAAATGAAAAACAAACCTTCCAGTAAGGAATCTTTGATGTGGGTGAAGGGGAGTTTGATCCTGGGGATTGGTTATAGGAAGGGGACGCAGGAAGTATGTAAGAGTGAGGCCTGATGGAGTCATTAAAACAGTGAGCAGGGCGAAAGGTAGCAAAGGATGAGCCGAACTGTGGAAACGGAATGACAGGATGGCCCAATCAAATACAGAAAACATCACACAAGCTTCAGTGAATACCCCACACCAAATAACAGTGTAATAATATACAAAAATCAATTAAATTAACCCTTTTATGCATTACATTTCCCGACCAGGCGCCGAGTGGTGCCAATCACAACACACACTGTCCCAGCTAACCAATCACAGCACATTTCGTATTTCAGAAGGCGGGCCTTCATTTGATACAGGAACTATTCGAGCCGTTCATGCCAGACTGGGGAGAGAGGTGTTGTAATAATGTAAAATATGTGAAAAATAATGTGTTTTTCGAACAACCTAGTATGAGAGCCTGTTCTAGCACACCCCCAAACTAAATCAAGACTTTGTAAAAGAGCATAATAGAACCCCTTTAAGATGTTGTGGGCGAAGAGACTAATTAATCAAATAATTTATTAATGACATTTCCTGACTGAAATTAATACTTACTATTGTGGGAGAGCCGCACTCACTGACTGACTGACAGGTTTCTGAAGCCTCTGAGGATGCAGAACTGGATGACTTCTGTTTACCAAAGATAGTTAAAAATAGGTCAGTGAAATGGATGTGGAAATGAGCATTAAACGAAACAGACAAAAAAACAAAACAACCAGTAAAGACCTGGCTAGTGATGTCAGACGGCATGGGGGAGGGAGGTTTGGAGTGTACATTGGCATCTTGAGAGACAAATCCAGAATCATGAGAGGAGACGCTGCTCAGGCGATGGGCGCCACCTGGTGGCAGATGCACCAAACTGAGAGGAGCGCAAGGAAATTATTAGTGTTACTCTCAAAACTAGCAAATAACCAAATAAGAATATCCAAATGCAACCGAGAATTGTTGAGACTACATATGGCTTAACAAAATCATTATAAAATAGTAACTGACGCAAAATATTAATTGTGCTAGAAAATGACGAGACAAGCACCTGCAAAGGCTGCTCTTCCTAGATCCAACACTACTGGGAGAAGAAGGTGGAGTCTGGTAGGACCAGTTATAGTCAGACCCCTTAAGATCCAAAATCACCTAGCGGAAATCAAAAATAACATATTTTTATTATTGATATTTGAGTATGTATGTTAAATGATTTTCATATATGTGTTTAAGCACCTGTTCACTGGCCTCTGGGAGTTTATGTGGGTCAGTTGTCAACACAGTGAGGTCATCAATAATGGCCTGGAGGTGAGTGGCCTCTCCCAGCATGGCAACTTCACCGATCTGAGGAAAGAGGTTAATGTCACTTTATTGTAAATAGCAGCAAGCACTCCTCTCTTTCATTCAAATACATACACAAGGGAGAGCGGGGCATGTTGTCACTTGATGTTTTTTTTCTTTCCATAAATACATAAAATGGATATTTTAATTCAATAACTTTTACAAGTAAATACATTTTTATTATATATTATCTAGAAGTAACTTCAGACCCAGAGCCGTTCATTCTCACCACTACAGGCTGCAGGAAGCTGATGAAGGTGCAGTAGCGCCCCCTTTCCTCCAGGAGGGCTCGGCGCACAGCCTGCTTCTCAGTCTCCTCCATCAGAAGGTACATGTCACTCACATCCTGCATGGCACTGTCCAGCTGTGGCTTCAGTCCTCCTCGACCTGAGACGAAGAGAAAGAGAGATACCGTGAGAGGCAATAAAGCAGTGTGTGGATGAACAATCCATGAAAGGAAAATTACACTACTCTTCAAAATTTGGGGTGAGTAAGATTTTATTCAGCAAGGATACTTTAAATGGCTGTTCTTTTGAACTTTCTATTCATCATAAAAATCAATAAAACATTAAACAGCATAACTGTTTTCAGCATTGATAATAATGTTTCATCAAATCATCATGTTGGAATGATTTCTGAAGGATCATGTGACACTGAAGACTGGAGTAATGACTGCTGAAAATTCAGCTTTACCATCACAGGAATAAATGACATTTTAAAATATATTAATAAGGGAAACAGTTTTTAAAATAGCAGTTTTGCTGTTTTTACTGTATTTTTGATCAAATAATGCCTTGGTGAGTATCAGTTAATTCTTTCAAAAACATTAATAAATGTTACAGACCCCAATTTTTTGAACAGTAGTGTATGCTGAGATGCACTGAAAATGCATATTTTAGCATTTTTAACACATGAAATGTTTGATGTAGATGTGAACACAAATGTCCCATGGGTCAGCACAACCAAAGACAGATTAGGGTGGATAATGTCAACACAGCAACCAGGCATTGTCAGGCTTCATGCAAGGAAACCTTCATGACCATATAATAAAAATAATAAATGACACAGAGTTGATGCTATGAATCTAAACACACTGCAAATATTGCATGATTGTGCGCTGTGATTTCACAACACAGATGCTTATTATGTCTGATGGAAAGAATGACAATGAGATGAGCACGCTTTGCGAACAATGGAATTTTGTGTTTGAAGAGGACACTAAAACATTCTCATTAAAACACATGATGAAATGAAATCAATGTTAGTCATGCTAAATGTGATGATCTATGATGGAACTGCCTGAATACATACCTGGTAGTTCTACGGTTTATAAGCAGAAGCCAAGCCAATCACAGTATGAAAGACAGAGAGAAAAATAGCATTGCCATGAAGAAATTGCAAAGGTGTGAGGGAATGCAAAGGAATGAAATCGCAAGCGAGTCTGTTGCCTCACAACATTTATGATACATTGCACTAATGTAATTATACATTTTCCCCCTGAACATTCTTCAAAATACCTTCTTTTATGTTCCACAGAAAAAAGGAAGTCATACAGGCTTGAAACAACATGAGAATGAGTAAATAATGACAGAATATTAATTTTTGGGTGAACTATCCCTTTAAAATCAATCCTCCACTAGATGGTGGTACACCTTACTGATCACCATCATCTGATTTAATAGGGTTACCGTGACCTTTTAACCCAACTCTTTAACCTAATTAATCTTGGCATCGGAAAAAGTAAGCATGCAAGAGAAGGGGTTGAGTTAGAAAAGATCCCAGCACGACACAACACATTTCACGAATAATTTAACATACCAAATGCAGTAATACTCTGAAAATAATGCACAGAGAGAGTGTCAGCGAGAGGGGAAATCATTGTGCTGACAGAGAGAATAAAAAGACCAACCTTTTCTGGCTTTCTTCTGCAGCTTTATTGTGTCAGATGATTTCTTCTTGATCTCCTGCCTAGAGCGCTTGTACTCTGGTGAACAGAAGGAAGGTGTAAATTCACAGACGTTAGTAGTGCAGTGAGTAAGAACAGGATTGCATATCGACAACTGAGTCAGTCTCACCTTTGGCATGGTCTTTATCAAGCAGGGCAGCTGTTTTCTTCCACTCTTCTATCTTGTCTTGGAGTGGGGCGATCATTTTTTCCATTAGAGCACTGAGTATAAATTAAAAATGGCAAAAATGAAACAATAGAAAAAATCCAGTATTTAAAATGGCCATCCAATATCACAGTATCATTTAAAGAAGAACAAAAAAACTCTGTTTATATTGGAAATATATATGAATTATGATTGTACTACTGGTCACATTTTGGAATAATTACACTTTTTTAATGTTTTTGGGAAAAAAATCTCTTATGCTCAAGGCTGCATTTATTTGATCAAAAATACAGCAAAAAACTGTAATATTGTGAAATAATATTACAATTTAGAAAGACGGTTTAATAGTTTAAAATGTAATTTATTTCTGTTATGGCAAAGCATAATTTGGTGCTAAACTATTAATAATGTTTTTTATTTATTTTCAGTGCTGAAAATAGTTTTTACGGCTTAATATTTTTGCAGAAACCGTGAAACATTTTTTCAGGATTCTTTGAAGAATTGAAAGTTCAAAAGAACAGCATTTATTTGAAATAGAAATAACTCAACCCAGCATTTGAATGGTAGTGTATCAAGCAAAAACTGTTTTCAACATTGGTAATAAAAAGTTTATCTTGAGACTCAAATCTGCATTTTAGAGTGATGAATAACACTGAAGACTAGAGTAATGGCAGCTGAAATTCAGATTTGCCATCATAGAAACAATCACATTTTAAAATATACTAAAACAGAAAACAGTTCTAATTGTAATAATATTTCGCAACATTACCATTTTTAGTGTATTTCATTATTAAATAAATGCAGCCGTGATGAGCATAAGAGACTTCTTTCAAAAACATAAAAAATGTCAATTTCTCAAAAATTTGACCAGTGGTGTATACATACATATACATTATGCACCACAAAAATAAAAATGAAACACAACTATATGGTTCCTGTATGAATACAAAATATGGAAAGGAGCAGTGTGAAGATTTTCTCCTTTTGTGTTCCACAGAATAAAGAATATGAGTAGTTTCGAATGAAATGAGGGTGAGAATGAGATGAGAAAATTTTCATTTTTGGGTAAACTATTTCTTTAAGGTCAGCGTTTGAAATCTGTGAGCGGTGAGCTAATTTGGTCTCTCTGAAGACAACACATTAAAGCCTTAGAGCAGGCTGATTGATCCATGAATGTTTGCTTATCTCCACAGTGGAAAATCAATGCCTGGCACAGACATAAAATCCTGTCTGTGCCGTCTGACTGGCGGGGAGCAAAGCATGAAAGTAATCACGCCATGGATGGGTCGATCACTCACTTGGTGAAGTGGCGTAGTTTGGCCTCGATGCTGCGGTGTCGCATGCACATCCGTGTCAAAGCGGAGCCGATATCTCTGGTGGCACCTGACAACAAGACAAATGCATGTTAAATAAAGAAATAAATATGAAATAAGAACATTTTGAGTGTGGATAGTCAATATTTTCAAAAACACTTCAGACAAATTTGTCCTCATATAGATTTTAATCGCACATATAAAAATGGCAACAAGGGGGCAAACTAATCAGAAACACAAAGGCGGGCCCATTAAAGGAAAAAGTATGTGCTGCTTACTCAGTGAAAATGCAAAATAATTGCACCATATTCACAAGAGACAGAACTTGAAAGACCACAAATAGAATACTTCCTAAACAAGGGATATCCCTCCACTCTTCCACTCTATATCTGCCTTTCCTGTCTGCTCATGTTTCCTAAACACCATTATTACAGGAGAGAATGGGAGAGGCCGGCAATAACCTGCCCTCCTATAAACCACACAAATACACACAACAACACACATACACACACGGCTACTGAAAACCTTCAAAACAAACAGCCTCCTACATGAGAGTTCATTGCAAAGAGGCACGTCAGTTCTTTTGAGACTTCAAATATGAGTAAAGTACAAAGATTTGAAGATTTTTAAGTTCTTCAAACCAGTGTTATTTTAGTATCACTATTAAAGATTTTGTTAATATTTTGAATTAGATGTTATTTTTAATATTTTGTTTTCATTTTAATTTCAGTTACATTTTTAGTAATTTTGTTGTATTTTAAATTTCTTTAAAAAAATAAGTTTTTAAATGTTTTTAGTTTATTTAGTTTTAGTATTTAGTAATTGATTATTGTAGTACTTCAGCTTTAAATAAAAATTTGAAATATTCCCTGGCAACTAGCTGAAATAAAATAAAGTTGTTTTTTAAATATTTTATTTCAGTAGGCTAAATGTTTATTTCAAATAATATACAGTATATATATATATATATATATATATATATAATATTGGTTTTAGTTTTAGTTGTAGTTATGATAATGATAATAATGATAATAACCCTGCTTCAAACGAAATTCTATTTGATATATGACATATTTATTTATGCATTTTCTTCAATCAAATCAGCACTATAAAAAGCACCAGTGCCCAAATGACAAGATGTTTTCACAGTTTGTCCCATTGGGTGGGACACTGACAGATTGAATGGTGACCAAACCAGGTGACAGTTAAGAGGTCATGTTTCCTAAACACCATTATTACAGGAGAGAATGGGAGAGGCCGGCAATAACCTGCCCTCCTATAACCACACAAACACACACACACACACACACACCAGACCTGAAAACCTTCCAAACAAGCAGCCTCTTACATGAGAGTTCATTGCAAAGAGGCATGTCAGTTCTTTTGAGACTTCAAATATGAGTAAAGTACAAAGATTTGAAGATTTTTGAGTTCTTCACACCAGTGTTATTTTAGTATCACTGAGATACAAAAATAGTTTTTAGACAGATTGAATGGTGGCCAAACCAGGTGACAGTTAAGAGGAAAGGAAGGTTAAAGATCAGTCATCTGAATCCTCGGTCTAAAGGGCTGTAGTCAGGAAATGATATTGCAAAAAAAAAAACAAAGAAAGAAAATTCCCTGTGTACCATTTGGCTCAGACCCACAGGTCCATCCCATAGTGTCTGTCTGAGAGAAAGGCCCACTGTCAGTACACAGCATGCTTGTCCAAAAGCACGCACGTCTCACATCCCATTCTCAAAGGTCTTTGGCAAGGCAAATCAAGTTCAACGCTACTGGTGTTGAGACATAACAGAGCTGTTCCTGAGTTGATCTATGCACACACAAACACACATCAATTTGCATGGCTCAGTGCAAAGTTCACAGCTGCACTTTCGCTCAAAAGCGAAGGCTTTATTATCTCAAAAACAGACCTTCTCGACGTCATTGCTACAGTCGAGATGATATGCTACACAAACACACTCACGCACCTGCAAGCATCCTCTTCCCTTCCCTTGAGGGATCAGCTGACAGCTCCATCCTGAAAGCATTCACAGACTTCCTGTATCCAGGAGTCCCCTGGCCTCCCACCCTGACCGGACACTCGCGACTCCCACAGCCTTCCTTCACATCACGTAACGCAGAGGCTTCAGATGCTCCATTCAGCCAAACTCTCACTGCCTCCAACACCTGCCCACGACTGGGAAGCTATTTAGCAGATCTGTGAACCCTTGAGGAACTGCTCATGTGAATAACTACTGTTTAAAGGGATAGTTCACCCAAAGATGATAATTTTGTCATGTTGTTCCAAACCTGTATGACTTTCTTTCTATAAATCTATCTATAAAATCTATAAAAAGAAGAGATTTTCATCCATACAATGGAAGTAAATGACAACAAAATTTTCACTTTGAACCTGATCTTGGTGACCTCAGTTGAGAATGAAAATTGAGCGTTGAGCAACTTATACACTCTAAAAAAATGCAGGGTTGTTTCAACCCAACTATGGGTCAAATGTGGACTAACCCATCCGTTGGGTCAAATTTTTTAATTAAATTTTTAACCCAAAAGTTGGGTTAGTCCATATTTGACCCAAAGCTGGAAACAACCCAGCATTTTTAAGAGTATAGCATAACTATAATGTTAATTGTTCACAATAACACCAAGAATGTGCATTATGAAAGGGAACAGAGTCAAATTTGAATCCATGTTCACTTTAAAAATAAAAGCTCACTGCATTACTGTCGTTTTGTGATTAAAAGTGGTGGGAGATGAGAAAAATATTTGGTTCTAGCCACCTTGACAAAGAAACTAAACGTGACCTTAACATTATTTCAGTCAAAACATCTGATAAAGGAACAGCCTTCACATCCATCTGAACAGAGAAGCAGCTTCCATGGGTTTCTGACTCTCAGATGTGCCCTTTCGCTTTCTGAATGGATATGTGTGAAGGTGCAGAAGTAGTTGGCAGACACTCTTAACAGAGCCTGTGAATGGCTGGCACTGGAACAGTTAGATTTTTCTCTGAAAAGACTTTTATTTTCCACTAATGTCACTTGAGCAGTGCTATAATTTGAGCTATTTACTCTGAATAAATGATACTTTGGACCAACTTAAAAAAAACTGTAATTTGTTACAGACAATTTTATTTGTTTTTCTCAAATTATATTTATGGTTTGGTTGAAACCTTACATTTTGATTTAATATAAATTGAAAATATTTATTTTCCCAAAGACAAAAACATGCATACAAAAATAAACAGATTTGTCATCATCATTTATTATTTGTCATTTTTTTAACTTAACATCACCATAAAAATTATTAGCTATAATATGTAATAATAAGTAGATTTTTTACTTAAAATGACACTAAAACATTTGTTAGTCTGTTTAGTGTTTAATTAATTTAGTTTACTTACGTAAAGTGTGAAAGTCATTAATGTTTATTCTGATGTCTTTTTAATTTAAAATATTTATCATATTTTCTGCTAGTACTAAAGAATCCCCAATAATTAATAAAACCCACAATAATTTCTGCAGTCAGTAAAGCTAGCCCATAAGTATTCTACACATCATCTACAACTAGAAAATACTATTTAAACAAAATTTTCTGTTGGGAGTGTTATTTGCTTTTAGACAACCAGAACAGGTTTAAACCAGAAACCAGGATTTTCTATTAGACCAATATAAAAATACACTTTGAATAAAATAAAGTTTGTTCTTTTTCAGTGTTTTAGCAAACTCACATTTGGTCCAGCTCCATTCTGACTCTCCAATCAAGTCTTAATGGATAAAATTAAGTCTTGCCCTCGGAATATCTAGTTTCACTTGGAAATGCACCACATTAGAAAAGTACAGTGGGTTACAAATGAGGATTCACTTTACATTTAATAAATATCTCTTTGGGGCCACTATAGTGTGGGATCGAAGAAAACATGAAGTGCTGAGATACTCAATTCTTCATGTAAACACCTCAAACATAAATGCACACGAGTAAAAACAAAAACATCCACTGCTCTTTCCCTCTTCTCACGTTTTTAGCTACAAATCACGTTTTTGCTGAAGAAAGCCTGCATGAAGAACATTTCTGAGGGTTACATAAAGATCTAATAAACCAGCAGACTAATAAACAGAAGGACTCAATGTCAAAGATGCTCTCACACGTTCAGTCTAGCACGAGTTACATGAAACAACAGACAGAGACAGAGACAGGAAGACCAGTGACAGCAAAGCTGAGTTTGGCCGCCTGCCTTCACTCTATCTGTTCTCAATTACTCCAGACTCCCCAGGACTCTCTCTGGCATGAGGAGGGGACATTAAGGATGCCCATGTGTGTATGGCTTAGTGTGAGTGTGTGCATGTGTGTTTACAGCCTCTAAGACTTCCTGTCTGGGGGTTAGAGCACTGCTGCTAAAAATACTCTGCAGTACTCCTCACCAGACGTGCTTCACATTATAGCTTCAGCAAAAACACACTCACACATTTGACTAAAACAGACATAAATTGACCCCTCTTCTCTGTCTGTCTCTCTGTCCATCTGTCTCTCTATTAAGGGTGACAGTAGTTCAGTCAGGCGTGAGTTCAAGATAACATTATCACTTTTCCCTGTCTGCTGTTCGTCATCATCTTTTGATTCCCAGCCAGAGGTATGTGTTCCTGAGGTACTTCTGAGGGTACTGGAACACAATTTGATTTTGAACCTAATGGTAATGAGCATCAGCAATCATTCTAATATGCTGATTTGGTGCTCAAGAAACATTCCTTATAATTATCAATGTTGAAAACTGTTTAATAATTTTGTGGAAAATGATTTTTTATGTATTTGATATTTTTCCTTTTTTCAGTGTCAATTCTCTTTCCATTAGGATGTAGAACATAGTGTTCTGTTCTTTTAATACTTTATATTGTTTTCAAGCGTCTGCGCTTGGCTTCAACAGCTGAACGTAACTGATTCCACACTAAACGTGTTGATTCTGGAAGATTCTAAATGAACGCCAGGTTTCCTCTCTATTGTGAATCATATTTGTGGTAAAGACTGTTATAAGAGGCACTCAAGGATATAAAATGTGTGCTTGCTTTTACTAAAGACAAA